TGAATAGTGCTCATTAATAGTAACAAGAATTCCTCAATAAGTCCGTATTAACTGTGGTATGGTTGGAATACATCAGTGTGTGATCACTTCTCAGGCACACTGACAACGCCAAAATGGACCGAACTTGCGGGCGGTTGGAAATTACCTCAAGGAAACGTCTGTCACTAGCAAAAACGGAACGAGGAACCGAATACCGTGGATTCCACAATTTTTCATAGATTTGGTCGCTTTTTGTGGACAATATGAGGCACATCAAGTGTTTTCTGAACTATTGCTTTCGTAAAGGTGGTGTACAACTCACCATTTTGTCTAATCCTCACATATAAGCTACCACACATGGTGGAACTGTGTACGGTCGTTCACCTCAGCCATCTGGAAAACTGCGGTCTAATGTCTTTTCATTTGGCTAAACAATCAAAGAAGGCTGCTATTATTAAACGATTATTAAACGAAATATTAAAAAACAACCTTTTTTGTGAAAAACTACGCATAAGGTCGCTAAAAACCCTTCCAGAGCTGTGGAAACCAGTTTGATATGCAAATTAGTGAGTTTATTTGTCGGAAAAATATTCTTGGTTATCTTTGTAATGCACTACTCATAAAGTTGCTGAAAATCCGACGACAGCCCATGACCGGTTTCGCCCTTTTCGGGGCTCAGCAAGTAGGTGCAGGTCCGGGTTTCCGTCAACCTTATGTTCTACTTAAAACCAAATTGCACGAAATTAGCTAATATACACTCATTTGCAAACTAATTTGGTTTTTCGAGAGACTCACCTGGAACCCAACTGAATCTCTCGTTTGTGATGTTTTCAGGCAACTGAGTATGCTGCACACTCCAGAAATAGTTCACCATCGTGTTCCTGCCTATCTCCCAACCATATTTACCTCGATTAATACCTTTGGGTCAGGTTGGTGAAGGGAGAAAACAGTTTGGCCTGTAACAGTTCTGTCCTGTGACTGGAGTTATCCCTTAGGACGACTTGGTCCCAGAATTTGTGCATATGGGTCTCCAGATGTTTCCTCACACCTCCAAGTTTCAGGCGTAGTTTCATTCGTTTCAGATGCAAGGAAGAATCTGACGTGCCATGTTTTAGAAATGGTTGTACGACGGTCAGGATGAATCTGCGTGCATTATCATCTGTCCAAAGGTTAAACCAACACCACAGTCTCTATATGGTAAACTTTAGCGATCAGACGTGTAGAGTGATCATGAGTTTTCAGGTCTCAATGGATGTGAACTGATGCAACAAATGACGCTGTGTGCAAATCAGCTGTCAACGAAGCTCATTTCAGTGAAACAGAGTTCCCTAGTGAAGTGCGACTTTATCTCATGTGTGCTTAGGACATAAACTGTTTGTGAAATCTGTCTGCCGGGGTTGACACAATCTTGCATTGTCTGTGGATGTGATGTTGAGGCCTCCCTAGAGCTGGAAGATCTAACATAGATCTGGCAGGGAACGACTGATGTGAGTTTCTATGAGTGAACTCTGTCCATAGGATGGCCAGTTGAAGATTGATCTATTACGTCAACCTCGCTTTTATGTTTACATTAAGGTTGGGGTGAAGGAATTTTTGGAGGAACATGAATTGGAGTTTGGACGTAATACACCACTCATAAGGTTGCTGAAAACTCTTTTCTTTGACAGCCCACGACTGTGAAATCAAGGTAAATCAAGGTAAATCAAGGCTATATTGGTCTAAAAAGCATTTTGCTTTACAATGACCAAAGGATATTGGTGTGTGTGTATGTATACAATATACACTCATTTGCAAACTGATTTGGTTCTTTCGAGAGACTCACCCGAAACCCAGCTGAATCTCTCGTTTGTGATGTTCTCAGGCAATTGAATGTGCTGCACCAGGCCACCTCATCTTTCAAATGGTACGATATTCAAGATATCGCCATACATGTATAAACGCAATACACTACTCATAACGGACTGTTTTTCTCAGGAGAAGAATTGGAACTTTCTCAACAGACTCAAGCCAGGCATGCGTGCACACATTTAGGGCGAGTCATTTAACACACTTGCACCAAAGGAGGCGTACAGTTTGACACTGGATTTTCCTAGCTTCCTGGTAAGGTAATGTAGGATTCTGGCAATTCTGTACCGATTAGCGTGCGGTGGACTCCATTCGGTTTGAACTTGGCGCGCTTAATATGCGTTGGGAGGAGGGGTTACCATGTAAGAGGGTAAGCGTTGTTCAACGTTTTTAGCTGGTGCAGTAATGGCGGCTGATGATGAGCAAATTCTGGCAGCACCCATATCCGGTTCCATTTCACTTTTCGTGGAAAAATGGATGCTGACTTCGTCTTTATCAGTGTTGACTCTATTTCCACTGCGATTTCGACGTGTGATTACTGGAATTTCAGTTTAAGGCAAACGAGAGCGAGAGAAGTTAGAAGCCTTGGTGTAAATCGTTTCCCACGGCCACCTAATTCATTGCTTTATCAAGCGGACCAAGCCTTCAGCAAATGTGGCGATGCTGGAAAACTTGTAGCATTACATCGACCGGAAACACTTCGGCTTGTTGGTGAACTTTGAAAGTAAGATTAGAGGTTTTTTACGAGCTGAAAAATCAAACGCCTTTGCTCAAGGTCAGTTCAGGGTCATGTGAATGTAGAGGAACCTGCCCGAACAGCGCAATCGGTTTTCAGAGGTCAAACATTGTAACTTAACGGTTCGTCTTGTTCTGATATATGTTCATGGAACCACTTTCCATCTGGTCTTCACTCTGTCTTGGAACTAGCTAGTAAATTAACAGCTTTTTGATGCGTATCGTTAACCAGTACACAAAGAAGTCACACTGTTTTAATTCTTTCCCCAATCGTAAACATGGAATAGTAGTCAAGGCTACCAAAAACTGGAAAATATATGCCTTAGACTTGATCAGATTTCGGTCTCATCTTATAAGCGTGCGGAGCGGTATCCGCCTAGGTCTAGCGCCTGGGGTATGTCGTGCGTCACGTGCATTTGTCACGTGAGTAATGCGGTCAATCAGTGCCAGCCAAACAAGGGAGGACAGACGCGCAAATTTGAAAAAAGGCTGATTGGTCGTTATCTGGACCGACGAAGGAGTTCTATACTCTAGTTCAGATTGCATCCGTTTTTTTAACCATGTGCGGTGAATTGAACAGAACACCGCTACTCAGCATAAGAATGGCCTGATTTTGTGAAGGGGCCAAGAAGTAACAACAGCTTGCTGCTCAGATCCGAAAACAAATTTATGGCCAGTAATTTATGAGACGAATTAGTGGAGCGTGAAGTGGCCAAAGTTTCCGTTGGCTGAGCTGGTCTAATTGCAAGCGTTTCACCACCGGTGGAAGTGACATTACCAGTGCATCTGTAAGTATTGGAGTGGTGCGGTTCACCAGTGGGGCTCACATGTGGATTGGGCGTCTGCGAGATATTTCAGCTTAGTTTTTTTACGCGACCATCCGAAGGCATGATCAACTATCCTTGATCTCCATACACAAAAATCAGGACAGCCACGAAAATGTCAAAGCAGCGATGAGCAGAGGTACAGAACAGACAAGAAAAGTCCCGGGAACGCGATACTCCACGTCAACTTCGATCAGCCGTCGGTACGTCAAATCTGACCACTTTTACACATCCTTTCATACAAAGTCCAGACAGCCCAAACAAAACATAAAATTGAGGGTGAATGTTGTAACAAAAATGTCAAGAAGCAGGAATCCGGTCCGCTTCCGGGCTACCCCTGCGTCGAACACACTGGATGAGTCACATGGATGTCAACTATCGAGAACACAGGCTGGTTAGTCAGTAACTGGAGAGTCACATAATCGCGTGACCACACTAGAATGATGATCAGTCCGTTGTGTACAAATACATTCACTTCATTACCCCACGCCCACTGTCTGATGGGCCGCACCGCTTCACTATTCCGGGATGCGGCGTTGATGTCAGCTCGATTGGTGATGAAACGTTTGCGATCACATTGACTAGTTCTGCGGTCTACGGTGAGCTGGCATCTGTTCCCGGATTGGCCTGTCATAGAGGACCCGCAGCATGCAATGGGTAATCTCACATATGGTTTGAGTTTAGCCGCATGTACATCCAGTGTGAACCGGAGGGTGAGCTGGGCAGGGTGGTTGTAAGGTCATCAGGATGTCCAGCTGGTTCACCACTCAAACGGACAAATGAACAGTTGACATGATGCCTGTGGCTAGAGTGCCCTAGTGGCCACGTCATTGGATGCACCCAGGACTGTTTGGTTATTGGTCTGTTCGCCGAGCTTGGCAGTTGGATTGCAAACGTTTCATCACCAATCGAGGTGACATCGTCAGTGCAGGGTTGAGTGGGTGAATTCCTCCTCTGGCTGTGATTATATAGCTTCTAAACAGTATCTGGTAGTTCTGGAGACGGTCGTCGTGTAGTTTGATTGGTCTCATGTGAATATCACGTGGTCTCAATCTCCTATGTCTGATTGGTTCGTTGGGTGCATTCAATTCGGCGGTTCTGTATGTGGTTGTCATGCTGTGATTCGGTCGTTTCCTTCTTGCTTTGTGGGGTGGGTTTTGTTCATTTGATTGGCCTTCTGTTTTCGTGTTTGTCTTCCTTTGACCCAATTAGTCCGTTGGTTGCCGTTAGGGGTCTTAGCTCCGAGTCCCGTGACTGTGTGGTTCTTTCGCTCGTAACGACTGACATTGACCCAGTCTATCAGCCGTTACGAGCGAAAGAACCACACATTTACGGGACTCGGAGCTAAGACCCCTAACGGCAACCAACGGACTAATTGGGTCAAAGGAAGACAAACACGAAAACAGAAGGCCAATCAAATGAACAAAACCCACCCCACAAAGCAAGAAGGAAACGACCGAATCACAGCATGACAACCACATACAGAACCGCCGAATTGAATGCACCCAACGAACCAATCAGACATAGGAGATTGAGACCACGTGATATTCACATGAGACCAATCAAACTACACGACGACCGTCTCCAGAACTACCAGATACTGTTTAGAAGCTATATAATCACAGCCAGAGGAGGAATTCACCCACTCAACCCTGCACTGACGATGTCATCTCGATTGGTGATGAAACGTTTGCAATCCAACTGCCAAGCTCGGCGAACAGACCAACAACCAAGCAGCGCACCCGAGCTACCTATATTCCACAACATTGCTAGCACCCAGGACTCACGGCTAGCTAGCTAGCTAGTATTACCCACCACGATAGTGACCTACTTTAACCGATGCGTTACCGATTTGACATGTTTCCGACGTCAGCCACGTTCGTGCCTGACGATACCCGTTACATACTACTGACTCGTGTTGTGTTTTGTTTCGTGTCAAGCTTGTTACTCGGTCAAATCTGTATTGACCAGTCTTTCGACCAGTTTTATTGTGTTCCTCTCCGAATCAGTCAGACGGTGTGGCAATTCATCGGTAATTTGAATGGAGGTGAACTGAATGCCAGTGCGTATGTTTCGACAGAAACTTTCATTCTAGTAAGAAGTTGGTTTGGACGAAAGACTCATCTGATATTCAGCTGAATCTCTCGTTTTTGGTGGTGTGCTTCAACTAAATGTGCCGTAACAGGGAACTGCGTCTACTCGGTGAACTCCGGGAAGGGCGAAACCGGTCAGCAACCCTATGACAAATGTATAAACCGATGGACGACAGCACACTACGATATCTGAAATACTGCACCTGGTGCAGCATATTCACTTGCCTGGAAACATCACAAACGAGAGATTCAGCTGGGTTTTAGATGAATCTCCCGTAGAAACCAAATTGGTGTACGGTTTCGTGCAACTTGAGTAGAACACAAGGTTGGTGGGAGCTGCATCCGCCTGATGGATCCGAATAGGAAGGGCGAAAACAGTCGTGGACTTTCCAGCGGCCCTACGAACACAATCCCAGCATGATTTCATAACGGTGGTACGTACTCTACTCAGCTAATGCACTGCTCTGCGAATGTTTCATAGACATATTTTGGTCTTGGATTACCAGAATAATAATTGCAGGAGGCAAAGCTAAGCAAATGAACAACACCGCAGTGAATAAATCCTACGAACATTGTAATTTCTCAGCCATCCTCAGGAACAGGTGCTTGTTACTCATTCTTTGGTCGATGAAACGCTCAATTTACGTTGGTATCAGAGGCAGCAAGCAGTGAGAGTGCTCTTTTTACGTGCGCACTTTGCGCGCCTCGCCCTGTACACAATTGCTCAGGCGGTAGACACACAACAGATCCTTTTGAAAAAAAGATATGCAGCCGAATGGATATTGTATACGGGCACGTAAATTCATCAAACAGTATTGATGTAACTGAACGAACGGGCGTATAAAACGAGTCGAAAATATGGTTGGGTAAATTTCAACACAGTGGATACGGCAACCACTAGCGAAGCGAATCACTTTAACTGCCTACTTGTGCCACGCGCACAAATGTGACCAATGGTAGTGGTGCGCAAAGGTACCAGAATGTTAGTTCGGATCCGACTGTCACGTGATTGGTCCCATTCAGCCCAAGTGAAGACTCCGAACGTCTGGTCATTGATCCCGGTTCATCATGTGTTACGGGACGGGTAGTTGTGGCAAAATCGCCAGAAAAAAAGCTTCTTTTTTTGGGGATATCACTGGTACTAGTAAAACAGGAGTATGATTGTTATAAAGATACGGTCGGTTCTCAAAACGCCTTGTCGATCAGTTTCGGGTGGTTACCGGGTTTGCAGAGGTGGTTCACATCATGTCCTGATATGTTCAGGAAGCAGACTCGAGTTAGGTTACCTGATGGGAGAGTTAACTGAAGGGTCAGGCAACTGACACAACCAGGGTAGTTATTGTCTGGGTTGATGGTGTTTTTCGAGAGGTTGGGCCAATGAAGCGCACAGCTCAAGCGTGAACACGTTACCCTGTGCACACACCTGCTAAATCAGGTGTGTCCAGCTTGCACTGGAAGTGCGCTCTCCCTGTGTCAGACGTCCAAAATTTAAAAACATCTGCACGGTGAGGGGCCTTAATAAGGGTGAAACCCGGGTCACCTTTGGTGTGAGCTCACCAGAATAATCACACCAGAACAGAATGATACTTTACCAACGCACCGCACCATGTGAGATGAGATCGGTCAGAAGCGTGGGACAAAAACTACGCAGTATGTCCGATGCAAGTGTGGGTGTGTGTTCCCGCATGCGAAGTTGCGTGCTTCCGGGCTTGTGGCGGTAGATTTGTGTTAGCGTTCGTCCGCCATGTCTTATGCTCTGAATTTAGTCATGCACAGCCCATAAACTCAAGTGGAACTCAGAGCAAGCTCCTCCCAGCTTCAACGAGGACCAACCTGAATAATCACGTCGAGACATGTAGAGGGCTGTTCGGCCCTCACTTCATCTGTTCCTTCCGTAACACTGTCATTCAGCATTCGCGGCGAATCCCATCTCTGAACGCCTTGATTATACACACTTCGTTTACACTCTACTTGCCGTTTCTGGGGCTACATCAGACTTGTCTACATCGTAACTTACTCTTTATAGCGGATATCGACCCCCTGTTAACTCTGACAGGTGATGTATTCATCCACCGGTTGCAATCGGTCCGTCTAAATTGATCCCATGATTTCAGGTGTCCCAAGAGAAACGCCAAAAGACCTGGCAGGAGACCAATTTGCCTCCAGCGCTTCGGATTATGTTGTAAGAGTGAATCTGCCCACTGGCAACCCGACAAAATTTCAAAAGGTTCAGCGGGGAAAGGATAACACGGCCCTCACCATGACAGCCATTTTTTAGACACCTGAGTTGTTTTTAGTAGAAGCGTACTATCGACGTTTCGACGCTTTGAACAAAACCGACTAACCGGGATCACCATAGCATGACTTCACAGCTTGCCCACATTTCACAAAACTGGACACGCACTCCCCTTTGTCTAAATGGCTCATCAAAACCTCGGTTCCAGTCTGGAGGAGCTTAACGAATTATACCCCAGTGGAATTTCACAGACTTCAGCAGAGCAATCATGTTTTCCGAAAAATGTGCCTACTTGATGTTGACCTACGTTTCACAAGCACCCCCCTACAAGAAGCAGTTGAGTATGCAACCATACAGACGTAGGGATTCTCATTTGATTTACATCTGATGTGTATGAGGAATGTACAGTGATTTATACCGTCAGAAGATGATGTAACAATGGGCCAGCCACTGGGTCGATTACCAGCAGTTGTGCATAGGAGCGAGTTGCGAATACGTGCTTCAGGAAACCATGGACAAGCTTATCATCTATTCAAGAAAGGGTCCAATTATTAGTTGTTGTGATTCATGAGCGTTCCGGTTACCATCAGACAAGATGGAGAGGTACAAAGAAGGCGAGTCTCTAAAGCCAGTTCCCTTCCATTCAAACAAACAGGGAAGTTTTCATAAAGGAAAACTCTTCGACAGCCCACGACCGGTTTCACCCTTCTGCTCTGGGCTCATCAGGTAGGCGCAGTCCCTGAGTTCCCGTCAACCTTATGATCTACTTGAACCCAAATTGCACTGCTTTCGAGAAATACAGTCATTTGCAAATCAGTTTGGATTTCAGGGGAGACTCAATTGAATCTCTCGTTTATGGTGTCCTCCAACTGAATGTGTACAGTTTCCTTTATGAAAATATACTGCGATATCTCGATTATCGTGCCAACTGAATCATGAGGCGGCCTGTATGCATTACATTCAGTTGGAGGACATCATAAACGAGAACTTCAATTGAGTCTCCGGTGAAAATCAGATTGATTTGCAAATGAATGTACTTCTCGAAAACAGGGAAGTTTTTCGTTGGCTAGCAGACAGAGTGAGAAAGATCTGCGTTGAGTATTCTGTCCTTCCTCACTGAGGAGTTCATTCAGGACGGCTATTTTCATAGATATACCGCTATAAGTCTTCAGGAGAGAGGCTAGTTGCTAAAGTCATCTACTGGGTTTTGAACTTGTGTCTTCTTTTCAAAGGAGACATCACTACAGAGGTAACTAGTCGCCGCTTAAACACAACCGTAAAAGATACGTGTAACGCCATAAAAAC